TAAACACACATTAAACACAGTAAACACACATTAAACACACATTAAACATGGCTTAATAGAGACAGTTTCAAACACAAATCAGCTTCACTATAACTCGCAGCATTCACAGACAAACACTTGTCTTTATCTGGACACATTTTCCCCACAAATACAACATGCTAACGTTATTAGCACAAGCCTATGGCATTTTACATTGTATAAATTAGCCTAGCAGCTAGTAGAGATTTCCTCTGCTCATATTTCAGCCAGGATAAATCACACACAGTGTGTGGAGGCTTTATTGTCTTCACAATTTATTGTTTCTTATCTGTGAAATTAAAGGGTCATTCTTGGATATTGGTGACTTTTCTGTCCCCAGGAAATAAGTGTTAATATTTTATTTAAAATAAATGAAATATTTATGATGAAAAGCTTTTATTATAGATTGAGGTCTTCTTTATAAGATTAACATAAAATAATGTATGCAAAATATATTTATTTTAATTTTAATTACCTTTTTTTGGGAACATACACTCCTTTTTACAATGTCCCCAAAGCAAATTTTCAGTTTCAATGAGACATATTTGTGATATAATTATAAATAAATAGAAATGTGCCTTTATTATTGTATAAATCAAGTTAAAATCTCTATACTGATTTTATACTGTGTGTCCTCGAAATCGTGTTCCACCCTGTTAGTTTGTGGTTTTTCACCTTCTAAACAAAAAAACCTACAATTCCCATGAAGCCACATTCAGGAAGTGCGATCACTCTTTTGGCGGGAATTCAAAAGAACAAAGAGAGGTGAGGTGAGTTATCAATTGATCACACCCTCTTGTGTGTAATCAGTATGCATTTAAACAGTAATTGATCAATATTGTGTGGTCTATACAATTTACATGGTAATATAAAGTTAAATTATGTATTTGTTAGGAAATGGCTCCAGCACTAAGTGCAGCAGAGATGCAGCGTTGCTACAGAGAAAGGCGAGACACTGATCCAGAAAGAACAGCAGAGTATCTCAGGAATTTGTTTTACCTCAAATTCAGCCTTGGAGCAGGATTACAGCCAGATATGCCTTGTTTTGTTTGAATTTTGACTCTGCTTTTATTGTCAAGCACTTTGTACTTCGTTTGAAAAGTGCTATATATATAAAATGTATTATTATTATTATTATTTATAAGTCTCTAATGAATTAATTAATAATAAATGAATGAATGTGTTTTATGTTAATGTGTGTTTAATAAAATCATTGTTGAAACTCACTGAGTCATTGTTGATAATTCCACCCTGTTAGGATCCTTTCCACCCTGTTAGTCACTTTTTTTTTTAAATAACACAACAACTTTGTTAAATATTTTGCACGTTTTTATGTTAATTTGCAGAGCTGAAAGGGATTAACAGCATACACATGTTTTTTGAGCAAATTTGCTATTATTTACCCTTTTGGGTAAATCAGGTACAAAATTGTGATGGTCCTAAACAACGAACACACGTTCTACTTAACAATTCTTGTTTCATTATTATTCAAAGAAGAAAACAAACTTATATGATGGAATAAGGGACACATAAGGTGTTATAAAAACTAAGTATTGTTAAATATTTACATAATTAACACCTTGTAGTACCTATGAATATGTCCCTAACAGGGTGGAACTCTCTCACCGCCCATGTCTGAACAATCCACCCATAATTATTATTATTTAAATGCTTAAGCTCTATCAATAAAAGCTCCTGAAGGTTAAACATGTCATTTACCTGATATAATGATAAAAACATGAAAAATGTATTCTTTTTTCCACAAAAGTTAGCACATTGAAAAGTCACCAATAGTCAGGAATGACCCTAAAGTAAATCAAAGCTTTGTTTCCACTGAGGGAAATGGTTTCAGCTTACAGAGACAGACAGGAGGTCTGCGTCACTGTGACGTGTGGTTACATCTCTGGGGAGGTGCACGTCAGCCTATGGTGTAGGGTATGGCGTTGATTCAACCAAAGTATAAATCCTGCTTTAAAGGTCCAGTGTAGCAGATTTAGAGGGATTTAGTTGCGTCTCTCAGTGAGGACTGCTGATTGAAGCTTCTCCTGGTTAGAATTCCTTCAGTGTTTATATTTTAAAGACATTTCAAAAATATCAGTGTTTTTCTGACGCTCTCATCACAGAGGAGCTGCTAACTACAGTGGCCAACGTGAACACATGAATGTCTCTATGTAGAGCCAGTGTTTGGTTTGTCCGTTCTGGGCTACTGTAGAAACATGGTGGTGCAACATGGTGATCTCTGTAGACGATTTCTGCAGATAAACTAACTCCTGCACACTGGAGCTCTCAGAATATTGTGAGGCAGACTCTTTATACTCATTTATCTAAATGTTTATTTAAATGTTTATTTAAATGTACTAGCATCACTGGAACATTCACAGTATGTTGTAAAAAGGTAACTTTGTAGGATCTGAGGTGAAACAAAAGCAGCAGTTGAGATGGATGAAGAGGACAAACATTTTATGAAGAGTAGAAGAAGATGGACCAGACTGCACTGCTCTCTGACAGGTACAGATAAATCACACTGTAATTGGTTATGGGCTGTGTGTGTGTGTGTGTGTGTGTGTGTGTGTGTGTGTGTGTGTGTGTGAGGCTGCAGTAAGTTATTACTAATGAGTTGATTTTAGCCGAAACGCTGCCAGAACCTCCATCACCATTAACCCGCTGCTCATTTATTGCTGAGTTCATCCAGCAGAGAAGAAGAAGCTGCAGTTACAGCCGTCATTTATCAACACCACATCATGACATCAGAGGTGACATGAGTCTACAGAGCTGTGAGCGCCACCGACAGGCCACGGTGGTCGTTACAGCCATAATATAAGCCAACACACCACACACGTACGTGTTCTCACTGATTCATTCCTCAGTCAAACCTTCATACTTTACGTGTCAGATAAAAGGCAGTGTAGGAAGTGAAGTGATCGTACAGAGAGCAGTGACCACACAAACACTGGAGACGACTTTAAGGGTCAGAGGGAAATTTCAAACTGCATCTTGTAAGGTGACCTCGAGCGCTTTGAAAGGTGCCTATAGATAAAATGCATCATTATTATTATTGTTATAATTACTATTGTTACACTGAGTGAGCTGATCAGCCACTGTTTATGTCTTTAGAAGTTGGATGTCAACTGTTATAATTGTGTTGTGCAAGTCTGGAGGTTCCTGTTTAATTCTATAGCAACTGCAAGATCAGCAGGTGGTTAAGGATAAAGGGAAGTCCGTCATTATATATGTAAGAGGAAATGAGAGAAACAGAGGGTCTGAGAAAGGTCGGGGACGGTGTCATCTGGAGGACAGTGTGACAAGACGTCACACCAACTGAAAACCATTGTTATCTATGAAGTCTGTACTTGATAGATTAGGGGAAATGAAACCCCCAAACTCGCTCAAACGCCCAAATGTACTGTATAAAAGGTTGCAGTAGACGCTCCTCAGGGAGCCTTTTCTCTGTAACCTCATCTTGTGTGTTGCACTGTGAAACGCTCCTCTTGTACAAGATAATAAATATTGTTAAACTTTGATATTTCGGCTCCGGTCTCGATTTGCTTTAAAGGTCATTACAAACAAATTCTTATGACATCAACTGTAAAACAAAGAGGTGACACTGGCTTTATTTCAGTCCAACTGTTTCTCAGCTTTTTTCTCAATTGTAACAAAATCATTTGAGGGAAAAAAGCCTTTGCTCTCATCGCACTATTTATTCAAACATGTCATGGAAATCTGTAGTTGAGGTATTTCAATAACTTCAGGGTTAACTCTCAACTCAATACAACAAAGCTGGTTCACTTTTTAACCACATAAATCACCATGGTAACTGATGCTGAACAGCTAAACCGCTCCAGAGCAGGTTAAATGCAAACACCCCACGAGCACCTTTACCCCACGAGCCCACGTGCCCCAGTGAAACCGTCCTCCCTGCACTGTCTATATTTACGCCCCTGATGAGATCACATCCTGTCAGCCCCCCCCCCCATGCTGAAGTGCAGGACATTTAAGATGCTTATAGTTTTGACTCCTGACTGTCAAGCTGAGAGCAGACATTTCTACATATTCATATATGTGTGTGTGTGTTACTGACCTTTGGCCTGCTCCAGGTCCGAGTTCAGCTCCTGCTCTGATTGGATGGGAGGTCTGTAGGGCGGGGGCTGTCTCATAGGGGGCGGGGCTGCACCTGGTTTCTGCAGAGGTGGAAACAAATAAACTCGGTGACTCTGATGAGTCTCAGCAGTGTGACGGTGCACATACAGAACAGTGTGTGCTGAGGCTGTGCTGCCCCCTGCTGGACTCTACAGGACTCACAGCTTCATGTCAGACTGTGGTGAACGTGAGGATACAGACAGGAGATGCGCAGAGCTCACAGAGTCGCTGTGGTTTTGATTTTGGAGTGAAAACGTCCAGCTTTTACAATTAAATTACGTTAATTAAATTAAAAAAGTCAGACGCAGTTCCTGTTCTTACCGGAGACTCAGTCCTCGCTGCGTTGTGTTTATTGTAGCTGGGAGCTGTTAGAGACACAGGCTGAAAAACACACACAGATTGAAAGTCTTCAGTGTGTACAATATTGTGTTTCTAATCTGTGTGTGCGTATGGTAAACTGCCAAAACCAAAAATAAATACATGAATAAATGACTTAATAAATAAATTAATAAGCCATTGAACTGAACAAGAATAATTAAAAAAATAAATGAAAGCATTAATTAACTGATAAAATGGGACATAAATTGCTGTATTTATTTTAATTTGCTTCTTTATTTATTTATCTTTGGATTTACTTTCTTATTAGATTTTCTTTTTTTATATAAATTTATTTCTGAATTTATTTCTAATTAATTCAAAATTATTTATAATTAACTTATTATTTTTGGTCAGTTTAATGGTACTTTAATTTATGAATCAAGACTCTTTTTTTAAATTTATTTTAGCAGCGTCCGTCCTCCACATATGCTGTGTGTGTGTGTGTGTGTGTGTGTTTGTGTGTGTGTTTGTGTGTGTGTGTGTGTGTGTGTGTGTGTGTGTGTGTGTTAAGCCCCATTCAAACTGGATTTCTGTCTGTAGGAGAGATGCTGTGATTCTGACATCACCTGCACTGGTCAGTGATATTTACAGTGATAATTACAGCCACAATCAGGTGTAGTGACGTCACTCAAGTAATGTAAATGAGTAGAAAAGGACTTTTTTTATGGAACTAGTACTTTCTATATTGCTGTTTTAAACTGTACTTCTACTCTTTACTCAAGTATTTTTTGAGCCAGTAATCAACTTTTTACTCTGCTTCATTTGCCATTTAGATCTTTGTTACAAGTGGCCTTAACGCGCAGCATTCAGCAACAATCAATGACCACATCTGTCCACACTTTTCATACCAAAATTGAACTAGAATCCCCGCCCCCTGTGGTTCTGTTGGCTCCATCACACCGTGACCTCCAGCATGACCTGGGGCGGTTTGCAGCTGAGTGTGAAGCAGTAAGGATTAGAGTCAGCACCTCCAAATCTGAGGTCATGGTTCTCTGCCTGAAACCTGTGCAGTGCCTCCTCTGGGTTGGGAGAGAGTCACTGCCCCAAGCGAGGGGGAGCTCTGGGTAGTGACTGAAACAATGAGATCACGGATACAAGCGGCCAAAATGAGTTTCCTCTGTAGGGTGTCTCTGTGGTTTGGATTTCAGTTTCTCTCCTGCGTCCTGTTTTAACTTCAGATATCTGCTTCATTTTACTGTTTCAAGAAGTTGCTTCTCAAAAACTCAACATTTCCTTATTTTGCTGCTTCACAAAAGTTTTTACATCACAAAATTACAGGGAACTTTTACTGTGAAGAATCTTCAGGAATCACTGAACTTTGTTAGCGTGTTTTCTTTAATAAAAACAAGTCTAATACTGAAGCACGGAGGAAGAGTAAAATCAGAAACAGCCACAGTGAGATGATAATGATGAAGATGATGAAGGGCTGCAGACAACAGGCTCTTACTGCACCTCTGCAAACAGCTCACCTCCGACAGGTAAACTTCTTTTACCTGCCCTGCTGTGGAAAAACACATGCAGCAACAATAACAGGGGACTGTAGCTGTTTTTAAATGTCATCACACCTTCAGCAGGTAGCCCTGTTGTAATGGAAATGTTAATCCCTGCCTTGCTGGGCTGACGGGCTGAACCAAACCAAACCAAACCAAACCAAACCAAACCAAACCAAACCAGCACATAACTGTTGATAAGGTGTGTCAGATCTGCAGCCTCTTTCTCCTCTGATTTCTAGGTGGATTTGAAGATGTTTATTCAGCATGAACATGAGAGGCAATGAGAAGTCACACTGAGTGTAGTCTGAGTGGGCGGAAGTTCGCTGCATAGATCAGCCTCTCATTGGGCGGAACGAGCCACCCGCTGAAGTCCCGCCCTACCACCTCTGGTTGTGCAGCAGTTTTTAACCGTTTTCAACACGTCCTTTACTAACTTTTGCGGTGTTTGATCTTGCGGGGATGTAGCCATTTTTCTGCCATGGTTCACGTCCTGTAGGTGATATTTTTGTGGGTGTGTTACACCAAAACCTGTTTCCCCCCGGCAATATTTTTGCAAGCGCACCGTTGCTGTGGCACCGCCCAGAACGACTGTGATTGGTTGAAAGAAATACAAGCAGCCGGGGCGTTTTAAAGTGAGAGTCGGCCCAGCCAGACCTTTCTTTTCTTGAGAAAGGTCTGGTGAGCTAAACTACACTGAGTGAGATCAACACGGGTTTCATGTCTGTGTGTTCACGTTTTACTGAGTTATGGGGAACTGAAGGAGGGAGAGCTTTCACTTGTGATTCACCTCCAGCAGCGTCTCTGCCTCCTGGTTAACTCACCGGCGCCTCCTGTGGAGGCTTCTATTAGTCTTCTTTGTCTCCTGTCAAAGTTACATTAAAGAAGAGCTCAGCAAAGATTTTATCCTCCACCTCCTCCTGTAATACTCATCCTGTCTGAATGAGGCTTTACTCTGTGTGTGTGTGTGTGTGTGTGTGTTAGTACCCGTGGAGTAGCTGACAGGCTCTGGACGATGAAGACGACGGGGCTCGGAGCTGATTTGATGGCATTGACGGCCTCTTCGTGACTGGCTGCTCGTAGGTCAACACCTGACACCTTCACACACACACACACACACACACACACACACACACACATTAGACAATGTAGAGAAATGAAGCCGTCAGTTTAATACATGTTGCTGCTGTAACAATGACTGAAGTGAGATGAACAGACTGAAAACTTTTACTTATTAGATACAAACAGATGTTTTGATGCAATCAGACAAAGTGTTTCCTTAATTTTCAGTTGAAAAAAGGAAATCCATCACATTATATTATATATAGCACTGTGCAAAACATTTCAACTAAAAGCATAGTGACCTAAGTATCGTGATAATATTGTATGGGCGGCCTCATCATTCCTACGCCCTACTATAACTCAGCTTATATCATGTTTCTCCTCTGAAGGATCTTTTATAGTGATGATCTAACTTGTTATTTAGCCGCAAAACAAGTTTTTAAATCTATTATTTCAGAATTAAGAGCAGATTTCAGACCATGATGCTGTGAACTGGTGGAAAGGATCTGTGAAACACAGCATAGATGTGAGTGTGTGGAAATCTTTTCCACCAGTTTGGACTCATTGATGTTTCCAGTGTTTCCAGCACCTTGCTAATCTTGGGAGCGGTGTCTGTCCTGCATCATCACACAATAATGCTGCAAAAGTTCTTTGGTTGAGTCAAATTCCAACTTGCTGCTGCTCAGTGAATATAAACACATCATGGGTCTGTCTAAAGAGAAATAAAAACAGTAACTAAGAGAAGTTCATTTCTTCTCTTCATCTGATGAGTTCCCTTCAATGGTCTTCAGTTAAAACAAGCAGGTGACTTCAGGTTAACACAGAAGCACACTGTGTGTCAGAGTTTGATCCTACAGACTGTGGAGCACATGCATGCAGTGTGGCTGTACACCAGGTATTAGACAGAGCCCTCCTACCTCCAGGATCTTGTCTCCAGTCTTCAGACACTGTGTTTTGGCGGCAGGACTGTTCTGTAGAACCTGTTTGATGAAGATTCCCTTCAGTTCCTCTCCGTTCCTCAGACGCTTGATGACGTGATGACCTCCCACGATGCTCAGACCCAATGACTGGCCCTCCTCAGGCCACACCTCTACCCTGCAGGGCAGAGAGACTCTTATTTAGCCCCCCTTATATACTCTACACCCCCGGATGGTCACAGAGGTTCAAAGAGACACCAAACGGGGACAGACTAATATTAATAACCCTTCATATGTTGGACACATGAGGACGGATATTTTCGATGCTCAGTTTTACATCTGGATTCCATTGAGCACAGCTGTGGTGCGGTCCGGCTATGATGTGTCTTTGTTTTGTCCTCCACACGGCGTCACACCTCACAGGGAGCGTTTTACCGGCCTGATGTTGTAGACTTTCAAATTTTGTTGATTCTGTCATTTTTTCTTTTACTCTATCTGCTGAGGAGACTCAGGTGTTTTGGAGCACAGGGGACACTCCTGAGGACCTTCTTTAACACTGTGGTGGCAGCCAGGGGTTCAGTGGGGGAACAGCGTCTCGACAGCCGACAGGAAGAGACTCAACAGACTGATAAAGAAGGCCAGCTCTGTTCCGGGACGCTCCCTCCACCCTGCTGGAGGTGGTGGGAGAAAGGAGAATGATAGCCAAGCTATCATCCTGTATGAACAACATGTCCTGTATGGGCTGGGACTGCAGTCGCCACCTATGTCATGTTTATATTTACAGGATGTTTATTCTGATTGACCTGATGCTGCCGCTCCACTTCCTGCCCAGCTCAATCTGCTCTGTTGAACTGCGTCACAACTCCATCAAAAATAGACGAGGCACGTACCTGCTCCTTTAAAAAACAAAATGGATGCTAATATTTCTCCTCCCTGCTGTCAGTGTAACTCTGAATCTGGAAGCTGCGTTCACTGTTCTTAGCTTTGTGTGACGCTACAAAGCTGTTGGTCTGATATTGTGAATGAGTCAAATAGACTCGGACCCTATGTGCCTCTTACTGGGCGTCCCTGATGGTCATATTACAAATATCAAACATAAGACACTCTTTAATCTTTTGACTTTTGCTGCCAGGAAGAATATTCTACTCTTTTGGACCAAAGATGGTCCAACAGAAGAAGTCTTGGCACAATCTTATAATGCATGTGTTCCCAATGAGTACATCTCTTACACACTTCGCTCCTCAGTGGAGGCTTTTTATAAAGTCTGAGGCCCTTATTTAAAGTACACTGGACCTACACTGTCATCCTCCATATTACAGGGGTGTCCTACATCGGCTCAGCCAGTCTCTGTACGTTGCCTGTAACTCAGTCGTCTGGTAACCTTGCCATTTGTCTATAAAGCAGATTTGTTTGTTTGTTTGCTGCTGTAGACTAGACTAGACCCGTATTTTTAACAGACACGGTGGAGAGCCGCCTCTGAAACACACTGAGACGGTCTGGTGGAATCACAGGTATCGTCTAGAGCTCCTGTGATCACCTCCAGCGCCCTTGTTTCATCCACGCTGCAACCGAGGCCGAAAAATGAAGCCAAAACCTGCCTTTCCTCTAATGACCACTTGAGGCTGGATCCAAGAGCAAGTCAGTCCCCACAGACCTCCATGTTAGCATGTAGAAATAAACATGTTTACAGCCTGTTTTGGTCTCTACAGCTGATTTCAACATTCATGACAACTGAATGGGGCTGAATCTTTATGTAACTCACTTGTTTACATTTTATTAAGCCTTACAGTTACACATAATTAAGGGCAGGGCCTCTTTGAGTGACAGGCTGTCTGCTGACAGTGTCCTCGGCTTCTTCACAGCTCCACCCTCTCACCCAAATACGGTCACTTCTGGCTCCAAAAAAAAAAAACCAAGATGGTGACGACCGAAATGCCGAACTTGACATTAGTGACATCACTGTAGCTACGTCCAAACTTTATACAGTCTATGGTCACAGCCAGAACGCGCCGCTGCTGTGCACATGGAGTTCAGGAGCTCAGCTCAAAAAGGGTTCTGCAGGTGACTCTGAGCTTCTGAGTAAAAAAGCACTGTGGTAATGACAGACTGGAAGGTCCCTTTAAGGCCCAATGTCCTCAAACACCTGTTGGATTTCTCCCTCAAAAGGTCACCAAGCTGTTCGGCTGTGTTGTAAAGATGAGCCTCAGCGAGTTGACTCATGACACAACTGAAAATTTGAGATGATGTTCTGACATCAAAAACATTCAAGTAAACACCTCTCTTTCCATCCATCCATCCATCCATCCATCCATCCATCCATTTGGCTGCAAACTAGGTGAGTGGTTCTCTAAACAACTAAAATGCCCCAAAGTTAGCCGTACATCCTGTTTGGTGGTGTCTTTGAAGGTGTTAGAAAATTTGTTGGGTGTGTGTGTGTGTGTGTGTGTGTGTGTGTTACCTGCGGGGGGGTCCCCAGTGACTGAAGACAGGAGTTTCCTCTCCCTCCCCGTCCTCTCTTTCAGGAAGATCACTGTAAACAAACACACACACACACACACACACACACACACAGAATGAGCTCGAGGTTTCTGCAGCCCTCGTTTTAACAGGCTGCAGGTGAAGCTCCTCTCCTACCTGTGGCCTCCTCTGATTGGTAGAGATGCTCCTCCCTGGCTCCGCCTCTTACGTCTCGCTGTGTCAATCATCCTGACAGACCTCCACAGAAAGAGAACAATAAAAACATCAAGTCATCATCAAGTTCCACTCCTCAGAGTCACCGAAATACAACCGATTATTTTATTTTATTATTTTATTATTTCATCAGATTACTGTTCAAACTCCTTCAGATAAACTGTGCAGTCATAAAACCTTAAATACAAATGTTGTTTCTTTCAGTATCAAGACTTTGTTAAAAATGTGAGGAAAAAATAATATAAAAAATTAAAAATAAAGACAAAACCGGCTGATGCTTGTTGAACGCAGTCTGACACACTTACAGCATGTTGTGTGTAGCAGTGCACACCAGTACACACCAGTTAACACCAGTATACAGTGACAAATGTAACCAGCAGATGGCGACACAGGATTGTGAAACAATGACAGTGGCGATGGAGAGGAGGAGGTGATGGAGGAGTAAGAGAAGGTGACAGAGAGGAAAGAGGAAAAGGAGAAGGAAAGAGGAGGTGATGGAGGAAAGTTAGAGGAGATAGAAATAAAGAGGAGGAGAAAAAGGAGGTAATCAGCGCAAGTTACGGGAGATCACAGAAATAAAGACGAGAAAGAGGAGGAGGAGATGGAGGAGTTAGGGTAGGTGACAGAGAGGAGGGGAGAAAGGGAGAAAAGGAGAAAAGAGAGGAGGTGATGGATGAAAGTTAAAGGAGATGACAAATAAAGGGGAGAAAGACGAGGAGGTGATGGAGGAGATAGGGCAGACAAAAAGGAGAAAGAGGAGGAGGTGCAGCAGGTACTGACTCTGTGTCGGTGTCTGTCAGAGTGAGCTCGGAGTCAGCTTCACTGTCTCTGGAGTCTGGAATACCTGCACGCAAAAACAAACAAACAAACAAACAAACACAGGAAGTTAGTAAAGTCAGACGCACATCATTCCCAAAGCGAAGTTTCAAACCAAACTTGATGTAAATTCAAACCAAATTTACAAAAAGTCTTTAAAATCAGACTAAACTGAAGATTTGTTTCTGTGTGAACATGAGTTTCATATGTTAACAGCTGGGCGGAGCCATTAAAGCACCACAGAAGAAGAAGAAGAGGTGATTCAAAGAGCTCCAGTCAAAGCTCGAGCGATGGAAACCACGTGGAAGAAACATGATGGAAATGTTTCATGGATTAAAGTGAGGAAGGTTCCGGTCTCCTCATCGCTCCACACACACCTCATGTATTCACTCAGTCACACAGATAGTGTTTCACCTCTGACAGGAAACTCTGGTTGTTCACGTTCCAGACTTCAATCACACAGGAAGAGTTTCAGCAGCTGGAGGTGACTTTTTCTACACGTTTTTAAAAAACAAAAAACTTAAACTCAGAGCAGAATAGCGCCCCACGTCATCTCTGCTTTTTCCCCCATTGTCCAATGGGATGATTTGAGAGGCGGGGCTTCTGTGGTGGTCACGACAACAAGTTTACAGTTGGTAAACAATGGAGGAGAAACTGGTGGTAGTGGTTGCTGGATACCCAGAGCTATACGACTTTACAAAGCACAGTTAGCACCATGTGAATAGAAAACAGCAGATAAGTGCAGTACTGTAAACGTCCATGATGGAGGAGAAGCTCCTGGACCAACTGGTGGTACTCCCCATGATCCAGCCTCTTTTTTAGGGTCTCATGTACCCACACAGATCTCTGTTTATCTGTGTCCAACAAACTATCTGCTGACAGCCTCTCAAGTACCCTCTGCCTCAACATTTTAGGTACTACGTACTGAATACTGTCAGATAAATAACAATAAATAAATAGATTGATTACGTGGGCAGGTTGGTCTTGGGGCAGTATTTGGAGGTGCTGACCGCTTCACACTCAGCAGCAAACCGCCCCAGGTCATGCTGGAGGTCACACTGTGATGAAGCCAACAGAACCGCATCATCTGCAAAAAGCAGAGACACAATTCTGAGGTCCCCAAACCAGACTCCCTCCCCTCCTCTGCTGCACCTCGAGATCCTGTCCATGAATGTCACAAACAGAATCAGAGACAAGGGACAACCCTTGAGGAGGCCAGCACCCACTGAGAACTAGGGGTGGGAATCTTTGGGCACCTCACGATTTGATTACGATTACGATTCAGGGGCTACGATTCGATTATAAAACGATTATTGATGCATCTTTAATTTATGTATATTGATGCACTTTTTCACAACACACATTTCTTTTTGTCTCACTGAATAAGCATTCAACACTTGCAATTTTTAAAAACAGTGCATTTGTAATAAGAAAGAGTTGAATTCATTTCCATTATATTTTATTAAACATATAAATGGAAATGCTTGCAAACTGGAAAGTTACAACTTCGTTGTATGGAATCAAAGGTAACAACAGGTATCTTAAATCACAAGATAAAATCCACAGTTAGAGTAAAAAATTATTCGGTGGCGACAGACGTCCACGCATCACATGTAACTGCGTTCCTGCCTGCCTTCAACAGTGAGGCCATGACTTCTGTTTTGGTTTGATGGTAGAGTGTCGGTGAAATAGCGTCGGGATGGGATGGTGTATCTGGGCTCCAGTGTATGCAGCAGTGCTCGAGATCCCTGATTTTCCACGACAGAATAAGGACGCAAATCCTTGGCAATAAATGCCGCGATGGCCTTCGTAATTCGCTTGGCCTTTTCAGATGAAGGTGGCAGCTTTCTAATTGCTTCCTCGATTGTTCTCTGGTCGGTAGCGCCACTAGTTGCCTCAGCAACAACAGCCTGCCGTCTCCCTGACTCCTCCGTCAGGTGGAATCGAGTTACATGGCTTCTCATGTTTGTTGTGTTGCCAAAGTATTTTATTTTAGCACGACACAGCTTACATATAACGTGGCTCTTGTCCAGTTCGCTTCCGCCGTCAACGTTGTAGAAGCCGAAGTATTTCCACACATCTGCTTTTAAATTAGAAGAAGCTGTCCTCCTCTCACGGCGAGGTGGGTAGCGGTCAGCCATGTTTGTTTTCCTCTGTGCGCGTGTCGGCGTGTCTGCTCCAGGTGCGCATCCCAAAGTGTCCCGGAGATGACACGTACCGCGTGAATCAATTCAGATTCGTCCACGTCCGAATCGCGATGCATCTAAGAATCGGAAATTTCCCCCACCCCTAGTAAGAACGTGTTTGACTTCGTCCCAAGTATGTGGACACAGCTCTCACTTTGGGTAAACAAGGAGCAGATGGCTTGTAGCAGCGACCCCGGAAACCCGTATTCCTATATTACCCCCCACAAGAATCCCTGTGGGACGTGGATGTGAGCCTTCTCCAAGTCCACAAAGCACATGTAGACTGGATGGGCAAACTCCCATGACCCCTCCAGCAGCTCTGCACAGGTAAAGAACTGGTCTGGTCGGGATCAGCATTGCTCCTCCTGACTCCGAGGTTCAACAATCTAAGTTAACTTCCCCAGAGAGGCTGAGCAGTGTGATACCACAATAAATGGAGCACACCCTCCAGAAGGCACAGCTTCTGATTTCCTGGTCCGTCTACATCTCGACCCTCAACTATGCTCATCAGTTGTGGATAGTGACTGAAAGAATGAGACTGCTCCTCTGTGGCGTGTCTGGGCTCAGCCTTAGAGATAGGATGAGGGGCTCAGACATCCAGTTCAGGCATCAGATCAGGATCCTCCTGGGCGCCTCCTGTTAGAGGTGTTCTGGGCACGTCCCATTGGTAGGAGGCCCCGGGGCAGACCCAGAACACACTAAAGGGACCATATATATCTCATCTGGCCTGGGAACTCCTCGGGATCCTCCAGGAGGAGCTGGAAAGCGTTGCTGGGGAGAGGGACGTCTGGGGTGTTTAGCTTGGCCTGCTGCCCCAGTGATCCGGCCTCGGATAAGCGGATAAAAATGGATGGATGGAAAATAAACTTAATTTATATGTCGCCTTTCATACAAGAAATGCAGCACGATGTGCTTTACAGTAAGGGCATTAAAACACTGAGTGTTTCATATGGAAAGAAAATGAAAATAAAACAGACAAACATGAAAACCTCAAACCTCTCACAAAAAAATCATGACATCGTAAAAAATCATAGATTTGTAAAACTATAACTCTTAAAGTCAATTAAAATTAAACAGTTTAGTCAGTTAAAAGAGTTGCAGCAGCGTGAAGTGTAAAAACAAACAGTTTCAGACTGTACGAGGACGTCAGAGTGAGTTAAAGTCTAAAGTGAACAGATGCGTTTTTAGCTTTCTGTTAAAAATACTTAGCGAGCAGCTTCTCTGATATCTGTAAGTAGTGTGTTCACAGCTTTGAGGCGTCACTGACGACGGCTGCGTCCCTGATCTTCTTCCAATAAACCAGCAGCAGATGATCGCAGTGCTCTTGAAGGCAGATATGTATAAACACATACAGTGCCCTCCAAAAGTATTGGAACAGTGAGTCCAATTCGTTTACTTTTGTTGTAGACTGAAAACATTTGGGTTTGACATCAAAAGATGAATATGAGACAAGAGATCAACATTTCAGCTTTTATTTCCAGGTATTTACATCTGGATCTGATACACAACTTAGAAGATAGCATTATTTGTAATGGAACACAAAATTTTTAGGTGAGCAAAAGTATTGGAACATATAAACTTAAAATAGATTAAAGTGAATGAGACTTAATATTTAGTTGCAAATCCTTTGCTTTCAATAACTGCATCAAGCCTGTGACCCATTGACATCACCAAACTTTTGCATTCTTCTTTTGTGATGCTTTTCCAGGCTTTCACCGCAGCCTCTTTCAGTTGTTGTTTGTTTTGGGGGGTTACTCCCTTCAGTCTCCTCTTCAGCAGGTAAAATGCATGCTCTATTGGGTTTAAGTCTGGAGACTGACTTGGCCAGTCTAAAACCTTCCACTTCTTGCCCCTGATGAACTCCTTTGTTGTTTTGGCAGTGTGTTTTGGGTCGTTATCTTGCTGCATGATGAAGGATCTCCCAATCAGTTTGGTTGCATCTTTCTTTAAATTAGCAGACAAAATGTTTCTGTAGACTTCTGAGTTCATTTTGCTGCTGCCATCATGTGTTACATCATCAATGAAGATGAAAGAGCCCGTCCCAGAAGAAGCCATGCAAGCCCAAGCCATGACATTACCTCCACCGTGTTTCACAGATGAGCTTGTATGTTTGGGATCATGAGCAGATCCTTTCTTTCTCCAAACTTTCGCCTTTCCATCACTTTGGAAAAAGTTAATCTTTGTCTCATCAGTCCATAAAACTTTTTCCCAGAATTTTTGAGGCTCATCTCTGTACCTTTTGGCAAATTCCAGCCTGGCCTTCCTATTCTTCTTGCTAATGAGTGGTTTGCATCTTCTGGTGTAGCCTCTGTACTTTTGTTCATGAAGTCTTCTGCGAACAGTAGATTGTGATACCTTCACTCCTGCCCTCTGGAGGTTGTTGCTGATGTCACTAACAGTTGTTTTAGGGTCTTTCTTTACAGCTCTCACAATGTTTCTGTCATCAACTGCTGATGTTTTCCTTGGTCTACCTGTTCGACGTCTGTTGCTTAGTACACCAGTGGTTTCTTTCTTCTTCAGGACATTCCAAATGGTTGTACTGGCTATGGCCAATGTTTGTGCAATGGCTCTGATTGATTGTCCATCTTCTCTCAGATTCACAATTGCTTCTTTTTCACCCATAGACAGCTCTCTGGTTTTCATGTTGGTTCCACCTCTAAATGCAGTCTGCACAGGCAAAACCTATCGTACCCAATCTGAAACTGAGCTCAGACATTCAGTGCTATTTATTGTTTGAATAATCAATGTAATTGGGAGACACCTGGGCAACAAAACACACCTGTCAGTCACATGTTCCAATACTTTTGCTCTCATGAAAAATGGGTGGGTTCAAACAAAAGGTGCTATCTTCTAAGTTGTGTATCAGATCCAGATGTAAATACCTGGAAATAAAAGCTGAAATGTTGATCTCTTGTCCCATATTCATCTTTTGATGTCAAACCCAAATATTTTCAGTCTTCAACAAAAATAAAGGAATTGGCCTCACTGTTCCAATACTTTTGGAGGGCACTGTATATACTATCATAACAGTTTTTGAAATGCGTTGTTCATTTGTGGACTTAAAAATCACACGAATCTTTAAATAATATCGCCCTCCCCCCGGTGCTCTCTGAGTTTAAAAGACAATAATAAAGATTCAGGTTCTGTTTCTCACCCAGAATCAGGTTTCCTAAAGACACGATGCTTTCACGGTCTGATCTCTGCAGGTCGTCGTCCTCCTCCTCCTTCTCTTCTCTCCCTCTGAGCTCCTCCTGCTTCTCTCTGCTCCGAGTCTGAGGGCAGAAATCAGTCAAACAATAACTAAAACTTCCTGAAAATGTCACATTAACCTGCACTAACAGAGGGTTTAAAGCTGCACGTCGAGGGTCGAGATGTGCATGAAAACACTGATGCACAAATACTGTAACTTTTAACATAAAGGCAAAGTAAGTCAAGTCAAATCATACACACCACGATTCATCTGGTTAAAAACAGCGTTGTTTTCACTCACTAATTAAATCACCACAAGAGGTGTGAAATAAAAACAATACAGCATAGTATCAAGAGATTTTGCATAGCAATGTTTCAACAGACGAACGGCAAGTATATCAAAACACGAATAAAACGTTTTGTAGTCTCTTAGAATAATAACATCAATTTTGTTTTTCAGTCCACTAGATAGATTTTGCTGCAATAAAAATAAAGTGTTACAAAACACCTGGAACATCAAAGAAAAACAAGAATTTGAATTAAATTCTGTAACTGAAGATAATTTATGGGAAGATCTTTGTGTCAACTGTCATAAAGGAACCAACGGTCAGTACAGCGAGAGTTTGATTGGAAAATAACAATCAGATATTTCAATGCTCCCCTCATCATTGTCATATATGAAAGAAACCTCAGAAGCATTGTGTTGATGAAATTGGGGATCACACGCACATGTTTTGGGACTGCCCAATGATTCAAGGGTTCTGGGGAAGCGTTAGAAAAGAAATTGACAAAATTATGGAGGTAGACCCAAAAAATATTTTTGTTAAGAGTTGTACCTAAAGACTGATAGAGCACAAGAAGATTGAAGATGATGACAGTGAACTGGAAAGACGCAGAATCACCAACTATAACCGAGTGGACACAGAGACTCCACACGATGGAATGAATGACGGCATGTCTGAAACTGAAAATGGACTCAAGTTACACGATATCTGGGGATCTCATGGAATAGAATGGGTTGTTGTCATTTATTTATCTGCAGTCCCTTCACCAGCTGTACAAAGACATCCTAGAAAAATCAAAAACAACAATAAAATAGATTGTACTATGATGGAATATCACTCAACATACCATCGCTGTGTTCCTCCATCACTGAACCTGCTCCGTTGGAAATCCAACTCCCCTTTGTAATTCTTAGTTTCATGTTTATTTAACTACATTTTTAAAAATGTATTATTTATTCAATTATTTTTTTCCATTATTATAGACTTAAGAATATTGTTGACCTCGGTTTTACTTTGCTTTTAAACCTGTAATTTTTGGGGGGTCCTATGGCGAGGAAAGTTCTGTTACTTGAAAAAAAAATTAATAAATAAAAAGATTAAAAAAAAGAGAGAAAGAAATTAAAGTGAAATGAATAGTTTGAAAACTTTTTTTTTAAGATGAAACAGATGTTGACAAAGTTTGTTTTAGGGACATAATCAGCTGTTAGAAATGGTGATAAATAGCAGTATTGCAAAACATTTAAAATCCAAATAATATTGACTTAAGTATCGTGATGATATCACATGGTGGGGCCTCTGTTTATAACCACCCCTAACCTCAACTGCCTCGTTTTTCGAATGCCGTTTATTTATTGTCACTGAAACAATGAAACTGAAACGTTTCCTGCAAATGTTTCAAATTAAGATTCAGCCAGGAAAAGTTCCTGAGCTCCTGAGAAAATTGTTAACCATTGTTAACCACTGTTCAACATCTATATGCTCCCTCTTGCTCAGATTATGGAATATCATAACATCTCCTACCATACTTATGCAGATGACACACAACTTTACATAACAGTGTCACCAGATGACTACAGTCCCCTACATCTGCTAAATAAGTGCATTGACGAAATCAATACGTGGATGTGCCAGAATTTTCTACAACTAAACACAGACAAAACTGAGATGGTTGTTTTTGGCCCCAAAGAACAAAGATCAATAGTCAGTGCTCAGCTTGACGCCATGACACTAAAACCTACAAATCAAGCCAGAAATCTTGGTGTAGTTCTGGACTCAGACCTAAATTTCAATAGTCACATTAAGACAATGACTAAGTCAGCCTACTGCCACCTCAAAAACATAGCAAGAATAAAAGAATTTCTGTCTAAACAAGATACAGAAAAACTTGTTCATGCTTTCATTTTCAGCAGGCTGGACTATTGTAACGGTGTCTTCACAGGCCTGAGTAAAAAATCAATCAGACAACTGCAGCTCGTCCAGAACGCTGCTGCCAGAGTCCTCACCAACACCAAGAGAGTGGAGCACATCACACCAGTGCTTAAATCACTGCACTGGCTTCCTGTGTGTCAAAGGATAGACTTTAAAATCTTGTTACTTAAGCACTAAATGGTCTCGGGCCTAAATACATCTCTGATATACTTGTACGTTATGAAGCATCCAGACCCCTCAGATCATCTGGAACAGGTTTACTCAGTGTTCCCAGGATCAAAACCAAACAAGGTGAAGCAGCCTTTAGTTTCTATGCTCCCCGCCTGTGGAACAAACTTCCAGAATATCTGAGGTCGGCTGAAACTGTCAACTCATTTAAATCAGGGCTTAAAACATTACTATTTACTGCAGCTTACCAGTGAACTAGATATGTAACTTATTGTTAGGATAATCTGTAGCTATTGTTTTTATATTTGTCTGCTGTTGCTTTATGTTTGCTTTTTAAATGCATTTTCTGCACTGTTTTAACTATTTATTGTCCTGCTTTTAGCTTTTGTTTTTAATGATCTTTTGTTCCTTTAATGTTTTATTTTAATGTATTTCTCTTGTAAAGCACATTGAATTGTCTTGTGTATGAATGGTGCTATATAAATAACATTGCCTTGCCTTGCCTTGTAAAATCATGATAGACCCATATACAGAAAACCAGAGCAAAGAGAAAACAAAAACAGTTTAAATCAGTGGTTTCCATCTGGTGCAGCCGCGGGGTCCAGATCCTCAGTCACAGTTTAATATATTCAGCGTCACACCTGCAGTCGGCCATGTTGCTGAGGTAGTTTGCTGTCTCTGTCAAGTAGCTGCCCGTTAGTCACTCACTCTACAGCAGGAAACAGCACTCCAGAATAAAGGTGTGTTTTTTACAAACTTGACACGTTCGCAAGTCACTTACGGTCCATTCAAATTGGACCCGTGACCCACCAGTTGGGAACCACTGGATTAAATAATACAAAATGCACAAATTAGATCCAAATATTAAAGGTCCAGATGTAGGCTTTGTAAACGTACAGTAGAAAGTAAAGGAAAAGTAAAAACAAAGAGTGTGTAAGTAACAGGATTCAATGTCGTCTATTAGTGAGGATTACAGATTACAGATTACAGATTACAACCATCTGAAACTTCTCCTGGTCAGAATTCCTTCAGTGTTGATTGTTGAGGAGCTGAAATATCCTCAGAGGTCTCTTCCTCTCAGAAACAAACACGATGTGTACATACAAAAACTCTGTGTACGCCTTTTCCCCACACATACACTGGTGTTTATAAATGTGGCAAGTCACGCATTCTTCAGACGAGGTGGATGCATGGTTTTAGCTGAGAAAGCTGCAGGTGAGATGAAGGGAGCAGATTAAATATAATCTGAGAGATGGATGGGTTGTTTGTTAATTTCACTGGGTCTCATTCATAAAGTGTCAGTAAATCTGTGAGATCTGCACATAAAAACCTTGTTACTAAAAATCTACAACGGATTCATGAACGCTGGGTTTCTACATCGGTTTATGGTGAACTGTGGAAATGAGGCTCGTGCACATGCACCCAGCGTACACACGGCTTTACGAATCTGACAAAAACAAAGCATGTGCACATTTCTGCCGTTGTGTGAACACACATGTGTAGCCATGAATCCACACTTTATGCATCTGGCGCCGGGTTATTTAAGCCGATATTAACACCGAATAAAGCAGTTTCATGTTAAAATAATCTGTTTTTCTGATGCTCACATTGCGCAGGAGCTGTTAACTACAGTGGCCGACATGAACACATGAATGTCTCAGTCTAGAGTCAGTGTTTGGTTTGTCCCTTCTGATCTACCGTAGAAACATGGCGGTGCAACATGGTGATCTCTGTTGACGAGGACCTGCTCCCTGTGTGGATATAAACATCTCAATCTGAGGGAACGAAAACACAACACTTATGATTTTCATCTGATTATATCATACTCAATTTCTGACACTCGACCCCGACACTAAACTCTACACACTGGAGCTTTACAGAAAACAACTGCAAGTATATAAAGGTTTGAGATCTTGACATGAAAACAGCGTCCTGCAGTGTCGCTGGTTCGACTCCATTGAGACGTCTTTGTTTCCCTGTCATTCCTCCTCCTCTGACCTCCTCCTCTGACCTCCTGTGTTTCCTGTCTACATCTCCACAGGCGTCTCTTAGAAAAGACACGTTGATCTCAGTTTGTTTACACTTCATCTGCAGCTTCAAATATCAAACAGAAGAATCAGAAATAAAGTTCTGTCTCTAACAAACGGCCCGGCTCTCTCTGCAGGTAAGACATCGCTCCACACCCTCACCTCCTCTGCTCCTCTGGTCCGGCCCATGGAGCTGAGCTTCCACTCCTCCCACGACGGGGGAGGTCTCCTCGGAAGGGAGCCCACACCCTCCTCCACTTTCTCTGGCATCTTCACCTCCTCCTTCTCCTCCTCTGCCTTCTCTTCCTCCATCTCCACCTCCAGCTCCAGCTCCTCGTCCACGGCCATCTCCCTGCCCTCCTCCACAGGCAGGAGGTCAGAGGTCAGAGAGGAGGAGGTATATCGAGGTAGACCTCCGTCCAGGATCAGCTCTGGCTCCTCCTCTTCCTCCTCTTCTTGACGGAAGTGTTCAGGCAGGACGGAGCTGTCATAGAAACCCTGAAACACAAACGTGATAAAATTTATTAAATCACGTTTTAAATAACTCAACCTCAAAATCAAGTTTCGGCAGTTTGTTCACTTCCTGATGGAACTGGAAAACACAGTTAATACCAGTCATTTAATATGATGAGAGCTCGTGTGTTTTTCACTGGAAACTAAAATGATTTGCAAATCATTTCATTCTGGTTTTATTTACTTTTTTGGAATTGGGGTTGTACATTTTTAAAATCTAAAGTATGAGACAAATAAGCTAGGCAGCTTTATCTGTACGGCACATTTCATACAGCAGAGAAACTCTACGTGGTTTACAGACCAATAACATTCAAAACATAATAAAAGGACACAGATTTACAATAAAAGAGTAAAGAGATAAAAGGAAAAAAAACATTATGATTTACAATTTAAAAAATCACTATTAAAATGAGCAAAAGTTAAAAAAGATGATTTTAAATGATTTTAAATGGAGTTTAAAAATAAGTTTGCAGTCGGGGCTGTCTGACGTCATGTGGCAGGTTGTTCCAGGTTTGTGCTGCGTGAAAACAAAACGCTGCTTCGCCACGTTTAGTTGTGACTCTTGGGACGGTCAGTCGGCTGGCCTCAGGGTCTGAACTGCTACTGTACAGACATAAATTTGGGTGCTGAGCCAGAGAGTGATTTATACACAAGCAGGGGATTTTAAAATCAATTCTCTGAGTGACAGGTAACCAGTGTAAGGATTTTAGAACTGAGGTAATGTGGTCATAGCTCCTGGTTTCTGTCAGGACCTGAGCAGCAGCATCCTGAACGAGCTGAAGTTGCTGAACAGCTCGTTTTGAATATGAAGCAGAAAGATCAACTCCAGGACTCAGGCTGGTGTTTCCACAGTCCATAGATACAATATATTGTGTTTAGTAAGGACACACAGCAACATGTCAAACATCGAGCCTGCGTGCAGGAGAGGCTCTTCTCTTCTTTTTACAAATACTTTAAATTAAATCTGAGACTCACTTTGATACGCAGCCAGAGAGATTTAACTGGGGAAAAGCCAAAAAGATGAAAACAAATCCATACTGTGACTCATCCAGACGGCTCCATCAGTACGCTGCATGTTGGTTTTTATGTTTTTTGGACAAGCTGGCTGTGAGGTAACTGAGAGGACTCGGCAGGCTGTAGGACCCAGGAGCTTCAAGCTGTCATCTCCTCAGTGAAGAAACTGAAAAACCGCAGCTGACACTAAATCTAAAACTTGACTTACTTTGAACATTAGCCTTCATCTCTGAACACATAAAGGTTTTCTCCAACTCCCCAAAGAGCCTTCCTCAGCAGATACTGAGGGGATATCCTGTTCTTAACATTACGATGCAGACATTAGCCCGCGCCGGGAAATATTAATGACAACACTTAGGCTAATTTCCATCGACGAGGCCTCATCGTCAAGGACTCTGTTCCTCTTCTTTTAATTTGGGCCTGGGAAGCCGGCCCATCAGGGCCATATAATGGAGGTGAGGAGCAGACGGCGGCAGCAGCAGAGAGCTCATAACGCTAACAGGATGTTCTGCAGACTGATGTGTATTGGCTGTGACTGCCTGGCCTCATATTCATAAGATTTAAAGACGTTGTCATTTAATATCTCTGCCATTAGACGATGAGGACAGTTGGGATGACGAGTCGCTCGCTCTCTCTGCAGAGTCTCAGCGTGCTGCTTCATGTTGGGATCTGGACTCACTGCAGTGGCATCTACGGTCCAATCAATTAAAATGTTGATCAGTGATAAGTGGTGATAAAGATGTTTCAGACTCGATCTCCACCTGCTGATCTGGATCAGGAGAAACTTATGATTGGACCAGTTAGATCACATCTGGAGGTGTAAATGACATCTGAACTACAGCTGAGACTAAAGGCCTTTGCACGCCAAGTTAGAGCTCTGTGAGAGCCCTGCACAGTTTCTGTCCAAGCCCGACCCCGGCCTGAAACATTTCGGCAGTTTTGGGCCTGAGCACGATTAAAATCTAAATTTCTTCTGCAAAAAACCTAACATATCTTTTAATCTAAAAGATTTCTAACATGCTAAGGACCGACATGTTTCCTCGCACCACTTCTCCTTCTTCTCTTCCTTCTTTTATTTCAGTGGTCTGGCGTCTGGTGCTCGACAGGTTCGGCGGAGCGGGCTGCGCCCCTTGGTGCATCTGGTCCATGGCGATGTGGCGCACAGATGATGATCACCGCTGTTTGTTGCATATTACACACATCTCTCCCACTGCTGGAGACACAGGAGGAAATACAGCCAACCAGTGTTCATTCTGTTGACGAAAGCTATGACAAAAAATTTTCGTCAACCGCCTTTTTTTCAATGACAAAAACGAGACGATGACGAGCTAAAAATAGATCTTGATTATAAAAGCTATGACAGAATTTATGTTTCATTTTTGTTGACGAGACGTGATGTAAATGTTGGTGGTGGACTGTCGGACACTGACAGCTTGTAATGATCTTCAGATGCCTGATGAGCGACAGGTTGGCAAACTCCAGTAAATAGTCTGCACCAGGATGTTTGGGTTGGTGCGAGTTGTGAGCTGTAACTCAGCAGTAAATAATCAGCCGTGTGTGTCTGACTGTGGATGGTGGAGCTGCTGAATGGATTTGTGGAGTTTGTTAGTTGCAGCGGTGGCTGTTAGCAGCTAGCTCCGCTCGCAGCCTTCACAGCTTCACCCCGCAGGACTCCACTCAGTCCGGACTGGAGAAGGTTTGTGGGTTGATGGCGTTTGACAGGCAGGTAGGAGGCTCAGTTATCTGTGAGTGTAGCTGTGCTGGGAAGCACAGAGGAAACACTGATTTGTGACATGAGACATCTTTATTCAGTGTTTAAAATCAGCAGGCCTGTTTGTTTCTGCTTCTTTTATAAATGTCTACAACTGGTCATTTATGAAAAACGTGTTCAACGATTCATCCTTTTAATGTTGTTCAGTTTCTGTCACAGTTTAAACTGAGAACCAATTACTGATGATGTGTTGATTTTTATTTTTCAGACCTGTGTGTTTGTCAGGAGCCTTCCAGAAACGTGCATAAGACTTTACATGTCGACATAAATCAGGTGAGCTGAGTCAACCCCACGTCCTCGTCTGTTCAGCTGAAATCAGAAACCTGTCCAGAGTGTGTAACAATCAATAAAGTGAACAGTAAAAGAGTTGAAGTGAGCTCAGTAACAGACGTTTCTTTTACAACAGCAGAGTAAAAGTTGATGGTTGGTGTCACTGTGTTGTGTGACAGCTCTCTGCTGTTTGCTGACTGTAAAGCTTGTTGTCTTTTCTCTTGTTATTCACGTCTGAATGGGTGTGACCTGTGACTCGCTGCAGCTCTTTATCTGCACAGAGAAGATCAGAATAATGTGATCGCAGCCTGTAACTACAGCAGCAGCACTCTTCTACATATGACCTCTAAAAGTTAACGAGGTGTGGATGTGTAACGGGGGTCTCTCTCTGGTCAGCGGGGCTGGCGTGACAGAGAACGATCCGGCGGTGAAGTGACAGCGCCGACCCGGCTGTCTTTATGGAAACCCATCAGAGACCTGTGGGCTGTGAAAAACCCTCTTCAGCCAAATGGGCTGCATATAAAACAGGAAATAAAATGGCAGCAGCGCAGAGGACGGCTGCAGATACTGCAGGAGGACAGAGAGTGACACAGTAGAGTGCAGCAGGAGACAACAGAAGTCAGCAGGAGACAATAGAATGCAGCAGGAGACAATAGAAGACAGCAGGAGACAGTAGAGTGCAGCAGGAGACAATAGAAGACAGCAGGAGACAGTAGAGTGCAATAAGAGACAGCAGAAGACTTTCATCTTTTTTTATACAAAGATGTGGAACATAAACTTTGTTTTGCATAAATCCAGAGTTCCTACAGCGTCAGGTTCAGATTTAAGACTTTTAAACACGTTTTAATTTCACTCAATTTACACAATTTAAGACCAACTTTACACAGCTGAAGGAAAAAAACAAAAACACGGACCGCCATAGTTACGAGGCTCACTGTAACACAGACGAACACATCTGGAACTGTTGGAAGTTTGTTTGTTGATTTTTTGTTTCTCTCTCTGCAGGTGGGGTTCCACTGCCTCGATCATCAGTGTGTCGCGCTTAAAATCTTTTAGCATAAAATACGCCCAGCCTTGAAAACGTACTGGTCACGCCATATTGAGAAATCTTACTTAAAAAGTCCATTTTCATTGAATATGCACTTCCTGTGTCGTCGGGGTACGGTGACAGCTAGCTGACAATAATGTGAGAGGCACTGTGTAAATTATTTTCAAAAAAAAAAAAAAAAAAAAGATGTGAGCCATTACTTTTTAAAAAGATGAATTTAAGGTGTTTTAATACCAGTTAAGGCCTTATTTTTTAGATAAATGAAATCAGTGCCTTTGAAGGATCCACAGAAACCCTGAATTCATGCTGCACAAAAAATGTTATGTTGCACTCATTTACTGTGTTGTCTTGTGTACATAAGATAACGCGTGCCCTCAAGATATTCATATAAAACACATAATAACTCACTAGATAATAACGTGCACACCCAAATTAACACCACACACATTATCATCCTGCACTCTCAGCTTGTTCAGATCTGTATCTTCGAGATAAGGATCTTAATAACTGGAGAGAACACGATGAGACTGCTGTACTGAGTAATAAAGACAGAAATGCAAAAATGTAATCACAAAAATAATTCCAGGAGTCCTGTTTGAGATTAATAATCTCTCTCAGAACAAACAGCCGTGTTGATATCCTCAACATGTTCTGAGGGATTCTAATAACAAAAATCTGTTGACTGAAACCACGTTTGTTGCAGATTTCTGGACGCAGAAGCAAAAACTCATCATATTCTTTTTTACATTTCCACATTTCACAGCTGCTCGCTTTTCCAAAAACACACCAATGATTCCACTTTCACAGTAACGCCGTGACCATAAACTACAGAGAGGTTTTATTTACATGTGAATATTCTGATATCAGAGAGCAGAGCTGCGGAGGACCTCCTGTCCTCAACAGTACTGCAGGAGTATTTCCTGTGAGTACTGCAGTACTGGGTGTACCGACGCTGGAGGACCAAAGTGTCCTCAGAGTACCCCCCAACCCCCCAGCCCCCCAGCCCACCCCCCCGACTCACTTAAGAGAGAGATGCTGCTGGTTGAGCTGATAGAGCACTTTATACCATCCAGCCATCCCGCTGAGTCAGCAGCCTCACAGAGACAGAGAGGAGGGAGAGGAGAGATTAAGGAGAGAGGGAGAGGGTGAAGGAAGGTGAAAGAGAGGAGGAGATGAAAGAGGAGAGATGAGAGAGGAAAGAGGTAAAGGAGGAGGTGAAGGAGGAGAGACGACAGAGGTGAGGTGAAACAAAAGGAGAGAAAAAAGACGGAAAGACAAAGTGACTTCCTCAAGAGAAGTGCGTTCATCGCAACTGCCGACGATACGCTGATTTATCCCCAACACAAACATCCTGTTTCAGTCCCGTCTGTCCGTCCACTCGTCTCTTTGTATGTCCATCCGTCCGTGAGCAGGATATCACAAAAAGATTTCTGGAAAGTTCAGCCTTGAGTCAAAGAAGAAGAACTGGTGCAGAGAGCTGCACCGTGTCTCCATTTATAAGGCAACTAAAGGCCTGTGTCCTCATGGCGTCTGTTTTTTTTCTCAGCGCTGGCTTCTTTTTTTAAACTGTTGCCAACAAGGACAGAGTACGAAGGGGGATCAGGTCCGTGATTAAGACAAAAAGAATTTAGACTTAGAGAATAAAGTCCAAATATTACGAGTTTAAAGTTGTAATTTTAGGAGAAAAACAGTCACAGGTTAAAACCGCGAAGTCGGTCACACGGTATAAAAAGCCACAACGTGTGTACAGACAGCGTTTGTGGGGACAGTAATATACGTATCAGCAGTGCTAAAGTAATATAACCTGTTACCTACAAGATGTCAGATGATATTATTACATTTACAATGTCACGTAACACGTTACCACCCGGAAACTATTCAGTGTTTTCACTTTTTATTTATCTACACCGCTCCACTTCAGCCAGTGTGCCGCCAGGAAAAGTATCCCCTGAAGGTTGTTGTGTCATATACAGACTGCGTTATAGAATGGTGCTGCCAGTGATCAGCACATCTGGGTGCTACTGTGAGTTATCATCTTCAGTGTGTTCACATTCATAAAGACTACCTTCTGCTTCTGCGTCCTGAGGCTGCCTGAAAGCATCGGGGATCAGGAGCTGACGCCGACACACAGTCCTGTTCTTAAACGTAACTCTCTCTGTGGTGCTGCTGGAGCTGACCGACACACCTGGAACTGGCAGTAAGGTCTTCAGCTCTGGTGTTTAAATCTGATGATGTGACTGATTCACATGTTTGGTGTGTTAACCTCAACATTTGTCTCTTGTGTCTCATATGATCGGCAAAAAATATTGATCCCTATCTCATGACTGATCAGACTTTGATCCTCTGCCTGCCCGTCTACTGGCTACTGGTTACTATCGGCTATTTATCGAGGGTCCAAAGGACAGAGGGATGTTGTGTGCTGTAAAGCCTCTGAGGTAAATTGTGATTTGTGATATTGAGTTTTATACATAAAATTGATTGACTGATTTAATTGTTCTAATTGGTTTTTTTTCTCCTAAAATCACAAGTTTAATCTCGTAATACATTCTATGCAGAACATGATGAGGTCACAGTGACCTTTGACCTTCAACCACAAAATTCAAGTTAGTTTATTCTTCAGTCCCAGTGAATGTTCATGCTAAATTTATTAGAAATTACCTTAAGGTGTTTTTGAGATATGTTCATGAGAAAGAGACAGATGCAAGGTCACACTGAGCCTGGTCTTTGATCACCGAAATCCGATCAATTTATTGTTGGATCCAAATGAACGTTTGTGCTGAATTTGAAGAACTTCTGTCACAAAAATGAGACAGACAAGGTCACAGTCATCTTGACCTTTGATCACCAAAATCTAATCAGTTGATCATTGAGTCTACGTGAATGTTTGTGCCAAATTTGAAGAAATTCCCTCAAGCTGCCATCACTTCATCATTTTACTCTGTTTTATCCTATCTCACAACATTTGTGTGAACTTTTATCATAATTAGCATATGAACTGAAGAATTTGTCTCATCAGGTTTTCTTCCATCAGTTTTTTGTGTCGTCTTGTTCCACAGCAGAGACATAAATCCAGTCTGAACTCCATTCCTGTCACGATCCACATATTTATTTACATCTGCTTATTTCTCTATTTATTTTTCTTGATAGTGAAATGTCTTGGCAGCGCTGTTCCTCTGATATCTGCACCAATAAAACAAACTGAGGTGAAATGAGTTAAGAGGGCCGAGATAAAGAACGAGAGAGGAGAGATTTAACTGCTGAAGATGAGGAGAGACGGAGGGAAGAGGGTGGGAGGAGGAGGAGGAGAAGGGAGTGAATGATGTGGAAGAGCAGAAAATCTTAATGGTCCAATTAGTCTGGAGTGACTTGATTAACATCTCAGAGAGAGAGAGAGAGAGAGAGAGAGAGAGAGAGAGAGAGAGAGAGATTACCAGTCTCTGGTGTCAGATATGAACTTCTTAAAGCCCAAAATCACAGCAGAGTTACAGCAGACGACACCGTCCTTCCTTAACCCTTCGATTCAGACGAGGACAAACTGAGCTGGTTTTGATGAAGAGTTTAACAGGCAGCAGAAAGCCCTAAAAATACCTAGTAAGTGGAAATTTATTTGAGACCATTTCGTATTTCAATTGTACTTTATTGCTCTAAGTATTTAGGCTTGCAAACACATGAACATAACCTCGGTGTCCCGCAGGGCTCAGTGCTGGCACCTATGCTGTTCAACATCTATCTACGACCTACCTGCAACGCAATCAAGGAAGTACGGCTACGGCTACGGCTACCCATCCTGGGAAGCAGTAAAAGGGGGCCTCTCTGAAAACATGAACATCCTGTCTTCATACCTGAAGAAATGGCGCCTCAAGCTCAGTATTGACAAGACCGTAACATCACTGTTCCACGTCAACAACAAAGAGGCAACCCACGAACCAAACATCATGATAGATAGCGTCAGGCTACAGACAGAACACTGTCATTTAAATAACAACTGGTCAGCGTCAAGGCAAAGACAACCACCCATGCTGCACTGATACGCCATCTAGCTGCTACCACATGGGTAGTTGGAGCCGCGCCTCGTTTTCAAACTGTATGGTTTGACTAAAATGAACAATGACAGCAATATAGTCCACGATGAGCAGCGCTAAAATCAACCTGCGTAGTTGTCCCTCCATTGTGACATTAGAAAGTGTCACATTTATCTTGACCAGACTCTGATCAAACGGTAAAAGCAGACAGTGCTGATCAAATACAAACGAAGATTCTGTTACTGTGCTGCCTATTTCTCGCCTTAAATATTTTTAATTGTTTCTTACCAACCAGCTGTCATTTGTCTTTCGGACAAGCGACTCCCATTACATCACTGACAGGCCGGAGTGTTTATTGGTCTGGTGCGGCGCAGTGCGTTATTGAGCAAAATAAAATGCCACAGTCCTCCTTTAAACTGACGCCCCATAACAGACCAAAGGACAGGAGGATTACCAAACATCCTGAACGCTGACGCTGCCGAGACTTCTGACAGACGACACCTCTGATGTTGCTGACGATCACCTCCACTACGTCCCACGTCCCTTTATTTGCACCATATTTAACATATTTTCTTCACTACATTTCATATTTCATTTTGCACAGAAAATCTAATGCTTGCTGTTTATGTTTTTTCAGTTGTAAATACGCATTTTAAATTTGTATTTTAAGCACATTACTGGAGAAGCAACTAACCATTTCACTGCACAATGTAGAGACGTGTATTGTGTTGCTGTGTTACCTTTGCTACAGGTAGCTCTGTGTTGTTGAGACACACCTGGCTGCTCCTCTCGACTCCCTCCACCTGCACAAACACATCAGACTCTCAGCCACACACGAAGCTGCAGCTGCAGAAACATTAATTCATCAAAAACCACGAGGCGCAGACGTACCACCACCAGAGGCTTGCGGATGCCCAGGCGGACTGTGCCGGGTGGGGCAGACTTCAGGACCTCCACAGCCTGGCCCAGCGTGAGCAGGTCCAACTGGGTCTGGTTGACTGACACCAGCTGGTCTCCGGGAAGCAAACCGCCGTGACGCTCTGCTGAACCGCCAGGAACCAGAGAACGGATCACCATCACGCAGCGACCGGGATCCAGAGGGTCCTGGAGAGAGATGGTTAAGGTTAAATAACAGTGTCACATTACAGTCAGAGCTAAAGACTAGAGACAGACGTCATTGAAAAACAACAACCACATCAGACTGAAGCATCTTAAGTTCTTCAGATAAGGACTTTATTTAAGGTATTATTTTTCCTTAGTTAAGGAAAGAAAGCTGATCATCTCTAACGGACTTCTTAGGTAAGAAAAAAACAAAACTGTTTAATACACTGGAGCTTATTTACATTATCAATATCCCACAGCTGCAAAGTCGATGAAACACCAACCGAAGGCTTTTTATAGTGTTTCACAGAAATGATTCTGAAACGCTAAAAATGGCTCATAATGTCTGAAAGTCAAAGGAAAACAACTCCAAACTGGACTGTGGAAAAATACTCACACACAAAGAGAAAAAAACATGTTTAACTAAAATCACCGCCCCATGGTTGTATGACTCCGCCCACCAGTCCACCCTGTGGTTGTATGACTCCGCCCACCAGTCCACCCTGTGGTTGTATGACTCCGCCCACCAGTCCACCCTGTGGTTGTATGACTCCGCCCACCAGTCCAGTGTCTCTGACAGTCTCCATCCATGTCAGTGAAAACATGGATGCTTCACACACAGAAGATCTATACAATCAGCACAGTTTCAAGATTAGAGTCACCAATTCAGTATCTGACAAAATGTCTCCTCTTCTGTTCCTGAGATATGACGTTAAAACATGATGATGTCACAGTCAAGCTGACCTTTGACCTTTTGACCTTCATTATTTTATCCTGTTAGACATTTGTGTCAAGTTTGGTCAGAATTATTTTATGAATTCCTGAGTTATGGACAAAAACATGCTTTGTGGGGCCACAATGACCTTTGACCTTTCCCTAAAGGCCTTCTTGAGATATTGAGTTCATGAGAATGAGAGGAACACAAGGTCACAGTGACCTTGACCTTTGACCACCAAAGACTAATAAGTTCATCCTTGAGTTCAAGTGGATGTTTGTGCTATATTTCAAACATTCCCTCCAGGAGTTCTTACGATACAGTGTTCACGAGAATGTGATGGACAAGGTCACAGTGACCTTGAACTATGACCTCCGACCACCAAATTCAAATCAGTTTATCTTTCACTCAAAGTGAATGTTTGTGCCAAATAATACCTTTCCTCAAGGTGTTACTGAGATGTTGTGTTCACAAGAATGAGACAGATGCAAGGTCACAGTGACCTTGACTCCCAAAATTTAACCAGGTCATCCTTGAGGCCAGAGAACGTTTGTGCCAAGTTGGAAGAAAGTCCCTCGAGGCGCTCTCGAGATATCGCGTTCAGGACAATGAGATGTACTGATGGATGGTCATAGCTATCACCAGCCTGGAGGTGTAAAAATAGATGTTATCAATTATTTTGAGATTTTACATTTTAAAGACTTTTAAAGGATCCACAGGAACCCTGCTTCAGGAAATATCCTCAGGACTGGACTTACAATTCTTTTTGGAACTCACCGCCTGAAGACTTTGAGAGTCAGTGTGTCTATTAGTATCATTATCATTATTATTATCATTATTATTATGGTTAATTTCTAAACCCTTCACCTCAGGATTATACATTTCTCTGTCACGTCCTGACAGTGGATATGTCTAACAGATGAAAAAGTCAAGAGAAGGAAAGATTAGCTGCGATCAGATGCAGTCTAACTGTAAATTGTGGTTGTGTACTTATTCATTACATTTTGATGTCTGAAAACACAACAAAACAAAGTATTTAATTTAATCAGCATAACTTGTACTCACACCTGCACTGCCGGCTGTAACTGCTGCACATGATCATACTGCTCATACTCTACATATCTTACTCTAAATATGCTCATATGCCTTGCTGTTTATTACATGTATTATTATTTACTTCATTCTATTTGCCATCTATATTTATTTTGTATGTCATTCTGCACTTTACTGCTTGTTGCACTCCTGGTTAGACACATTTTGTTGTGTCAGTGTCTTTAATCTGTGCAATAATGTTGTGTAAATCAAATAATATATATATTTATATTTTGGCAAAGTCTTATTTAAAACAAATCTTTGAACAGATCTTTCGTGCCCACTTTAAGAACCACTGAGCTAAAGACCTGTGAGCGTCTGACTGTTGGTCGGCTGGACATTTGAACAGCGTCCACCTGCAGCCTTTCAGGAGAGAAACTGGACCAAAACATCGGCACTTCCACCTGATGTCAGACTCAAAAGTCCCCCAGCTGACGAGCTGTGAAGAACAGGAAGCTCCCCGTCCTGCTCTGACCCCGGAGAGACGTTCAGAGAGAGGAGGACAGCGATCACCCAAACGTTCAGACTGAGTCTCAGCAGAGAGACAGACAGGAAGCAGAGCAGCTGAGAGACAGGCAGGGGGAGACAGAGACCAGAGAAATGAGAGAAAATCCCTCCATACAAACACAACAACAACAACACAAACACACAGACCGCAGGTCTACGGAGGAAACAAGCTTCACTTCATTAATATCAGACTTTACAGAAACCAACAGTGAGGAGGTCAAAGGTCACAGCACGCTGATGAGAAAGGGAAAATCAGAGATGTGGAGGTGACCTGGACGAGGACAGACGCTGCAGAGATGACCGCATTTTAGAAACAAATGTTATGGACTGTCTGCAGTGACACTGGAGATATTTAGAGCTTCGTGACTTTAACAGAACTTTAAATGTTCCAACTGCTGAAATCAGCGCTCACTCAGCAGCAGGAGGTCAATGCCAACATTTACATCAGCTCACATTTAAAGCGACAACATGATCGTCTGTTTTCCAGACAGCTCTCAGCAGCTATAGTAACATCTGACATCACAACAGGCTCCAGTTTCATGTCGGGGATCATCTGAAACAGGGCGTTTCTAGGACCTGAGGACATTGGGGGCTTAGCCCGGACCTCTGAAGGAACAAGTCTGATGCTTTTGTGATGCACTCTGGTATCTTATTTACCTTTAAAATTAAAGACTCTGACGTCAGAGGCCTAAAAGGTGTGGAAATAAGTTCCAGACAGATCACCGAGGTCTTCCGCTGCTTTAGATTGAAACGTTCCTCAGTCTTTCCTAATGTATTATCACTGAGCTTCACAGATTAGAAACATCACTGAACCGGTTAAAAACGACCCTAATTCTACTTTTTTTGGAAAAAGAAAAGAAAAGGATGTGAGCCCGCTCTTTTCGACCATGCCTCTCATAAATAATGCAATGTCACCACAGGAAATAAAAGATCATTTTATTGTTAGAAATACTCTTAAAACACTGAAACAAGTATGTCAGCATTCTGGTATGATGGACGATGGATGTTGGTTTTGAAGCATAGAAAGATGCTGCTCTACATCCAGAGGGAAACTTTATACTCTTACTCAACAACCTGTGTTTGTCTGCTTCAGTTACTTTGAAAACGTAGATTAATAATACAAAATATAATCAAATAATAAATGATGATGTATTATATTATTAATTATAAATGAAACTACCCTGCAGGATATAAGGCATTTAAGATGAAGAAGAAATACTTTATTAATCCTCGAGGGGAAATGTTTTCAGTCTGTTGTCATACACACACATACATGCATTAAATGGAGAGACGTCGAGTGAAGGGGCTGCCCATGGATGGGTGTTTGCTCAGGGGCACCTCAGGAGGCAAACTTGCACCTCTCCAGGCACAGTCCATACTTCATATTTGGTCCGGACAGTGACTAGAGCTGAGCTGGAAGGCAAAGCTTTCAATTTCCTGGTCCATCTCCGTCCCAACCCTCACCTATGGTCATGAGCTCTGGGTAGACATCTGGAGGGTCAGAGTAGAGCCGCTGCTCCTTCACATTTTAAGGGGTCAGTTGAGGTGGTTCAACATCTGATCAGGATCCTCCTGGGTGCTTCCTGTTAGAGGTGTTTTGGGCACGTCCCACTGGTAGGAGGCCCCGGGGCAGACCCAGAACACACTGGAGGGATTATACATCTCATCTGGCCTGGGAACACCTCAGGGTCCTCCAGGAGGAGCTGGAAAGCGTCGCTGAGGAGAGGGACGTCTGGGGTGCTTTGCTCAGCCTGGTGCTCCTGCGACCAGTGAAATTAAAGTAAATCAAAGCTTTGTTTCCACTGAGGGAAATGGTTTAGTCACCAGGACGTGCAGGAGGTGCATGTCAGGCTACGGCTCTAAACGGTGTTGGTGGAGAACTTGTGAGTGAGGGGGCGGAGCTGTGCAGAGTGACAGAGGAGAGATGAACACTGGTATGTGTCATATAACGCAGCTTGACCCTATATCAATATAAACGTGTTAAATTTATATCTTCATTGAAATCATATCGATATATGGTACTTGGTCGTTACACCACCGGGCCTGAACTGACATACTGTTGATAAACTTAAAGTCAAAGTTTCCTCAGTGCTGACGTCAGAAGAAAACCAAACATCCAGCAATGACAAAACGTTTGTGACGCTGTAAATGTGTCGGCAGCAGTGACGCAGGAAGTCCTCACATCCTGTACTGAAGGAAAAGTACTAATACCACACTGTGAAAACAGCTAAAGATGACCAATTACAGTTTGATAATGTGACAATAACCAAAGCTGAAGATCTGATTTGACTAAAATATTAGTTTCACTACTATGTACCTGAATATTCCTCATCTGAGTGTGTGAACAGACTCTGCTGGTGAACTCTGTCTCTGAGTCAGAGGTCTGGACACTGAGGCGTTTCCCTCCTCCTCTCTTCTTCTGCAGCTTCAAGTTCTCTTTCTTTGTTTTTTCCTCTTTCATGAAGCCATCACTGCTGATAAATGGATTTAACCAGTCAAGTTCGGACACTGAACATTCATGGATAGCTACGTTCACACACGGCTCTATCCATGTTACAACGGAGGGTCCTCGTCAGCCCCCAGCAGTAAACAGGAGGGCCAGGAGGTGAGCCTACTGTCGTCCTACTGTCGACATCAGATGGAAGTGAAACTAAGAAGACACTGCTGAATCTGGAGAAAGATTTCTGAG